GACAATGACGAGGGGGGTATCGCCGAAGCAAGTGGCGTGTACCTAATGTACAACAACTGCATCCACCACTACACATTGTGTGCAAGATTAAAAAAACGCATTTACACGTCATAAGAAAATTACCAATATGATATCATAAACGTCAATATGGAAGTTTCGTGGTTGTAGCAGGTTCTGTAGAGAAATATTTGTATCTTTTCAATTTACTTCAATAAACAGGATAATTTTGGTACTTTGGGAGTCTAGAAACAAACGGTGCAATCAGACATAACGACGGTGTCCATAGGAATCCACAAATGCATTTACCTTCCAAATCACCTTACTACAGTGTATTAAAACAGAACAGGCCTTTGGATCCTTATATTATTGGTCCTTTATTGGAAAATGCATTCCGTCTAAAAAAACACTTCACTTTAAGCTCATTTGGACTTTTAAAGAGAAGATATCTTCACGTCAAAATGTCACCTTGGTAATAAAACTTCCACTTTCCGTAAGCGCGAAAGGTACCATTTTGTGAAAAGTATCGACAACGACTATGGTTTGCTTAATTGTGACTAAATATAAAAAAGAGGGGGATACACCCTACTGACTAACTACTGTAAAATAAGCATTGAATAAACTGTTTTCCATTAGTTGTCCAAATATCGTATCAGATACGTCAAACTATCATGGAATCACTATATATATATATATATATATATATATATATATATATATATATATATATATATATATATAGTTTTCTGGTGCTGACCAATATATATACCCTGTTTCCTATTGCACCAAATACTTCAGCAAGATGAAATTTTCTGACAATTTTTTTGGGGAATATGCGTATTAGCCAAGTCCCCTGAGTTACAGTTTAAATATTTATAAAAACATCTTTACGTCATATATATATTTTCCATGAATGAATCCATACAAAATATATTGAAACGCGATGTAAAAATTAAAATTATATGACCCGGAACCTAAGTTACCGGGACATACGTTACCATTTATACGCTCCATAATGTACAACACTGGTCAAAAAGGTTGTCCCACCCCCAGTTTCATGTGCTTTTATTTGTATATGATCACATCACAGGTGAAATTTGTTATAAATAGTGATTTTCATTCCAGATACCATTACTAACATGATTAGTGGAACAGAAAATACAAACTAGCGGTGAATATATCAATATTTAATACCATTTAATCACATTTAATACATGTACCCCCGTAAATCCGACGTTTCACTGTGATTTTCACAGAGGTAAAAAAATGTCCATTTTATTGAATAGACACCACCAAATGTCACCAAATTTACAGACATTTAGCATTTAGGGTGTGCTCGTTAAAGGTCACGTGTATATTAGCGTTTGTGTTTACCGCGTACTGTAATTACCTCCTGTAGACGGCGCTGCTGCCTTCAACAAGGATAGCAATTCTGTTTTGTGGGATAATGTCCCGTGTTTCCTAAAAACCTTGCCGGAATTGGTCCGGGCTATTTAGAGTTTGGTTCTCCTCTGGATTGCACACTTCACTTCATGCCACGGGTGTTCAGTAGGTTTATTATCAGGGCTCAAAGATGGTTTCTCCAGCCTCGGAACATTGGGTTTCTGCAACAAATCCCTCAGCAGACGAGAACTGTATGTAAGTGTGCTGCCATGATGAAGCCTGGATCACCCCAGATATCCCCTCTTGCAAATGGAATGAGGTATCAATGGGTAATGTTAGGTTCAGTGACCCCAGAACTACCAGAACTTGGTCAACCATCATTAGGAACAAGTTGGTTCTGATGAAAAAACAAAGTAATTCTTGTATGCCTTCGTTGGTCAAGTTAGGGCCCATATACATGTTGCAGAAAGCTTTTTGGAAGGTGTGTGCAGGATAATATCGCCTGAGGTGTCAGGTCAGTCCACGTTTGGCGAGAATTCCAAGCCCATGGTTTTGGGCAATTCACTGAAACATTCTCAACAAATATCTCACTCCATTTGCAAGAGGTGACTTCAGGGATACTGCAGGCGTCATCGCGGAAATGCACTTGCTCACAGTTCTCGTCTGCTGAGTGATTTGTTGCAGAAACCCAATGTTCTTAGGATGGGGCAACCATCGTTGAGCCCTGATATTAACCCTACTAAGCATCTGTGACATGAAATAAAGTATGTAATGCAAAGGAGAAACAAATTCCTAATGATCTGGACCGACTCCCCCAAGCTCTTTAGGAAAAATGGGACAATATCCCACAAAACAGAATTGTTATCCTTCGTGAAGGCAGGCCGCCCCGCCTACAGGAGATAATTACAGCTCGCGGTAGACGCACACGCTATAAGACACGTGACCTTTAACGAGCACACCCTAATGCTAAATGTCTGTAAATCTGGTGACATTTGGTGGTGTCTATTCAATAAAATGGACATTTTTTTACCTCTGTGAAAATCACAGTGAAACGTCGGATTTACGGGGGTACATGTATTAAATGTGATTAAATGGTATTAAATATTGATTTATTCACCGCTAGTTTGTATTTTCTGTTCCACTAATCATGTTAGTAATGGTATCTGGAATGAAAATCACTATTTATAACAAATTTCACCTGTGATGTGATCATATACAAATAAAAGCACATGATACTGAAGGTGGGACAACCTTTTTGACCAATGTTTGTATAAACATGTGTGTGTGTGGGACCTTCCCTTTTACTTGTGCGGGGCCTCTTTTCTTATCCCGGGCCCCACATTACGTTAAATGACCCTGTATAATAGAACCCCAGGGGTTGGGCACTATGGGCTCAAATCTTTGGACAACGCTATCTGTAAAACTGCTACAGAGATTACCAGTTTAAAGACTGCAGTCTGCACACGGAAAAAAATGAAACGACTCCATGTTGTATCTTAACAGAATATATTTTAATAAACTAAAAGTTACATGGTACAAGCATGGTCATTTCCAAGCTTCAATCAATCTCTTCTCAGTCTCTCCCTCTCTCTCTCTCTCTCTCTCTCTCTCTCTCTCTCTCTCTCTCTCCTGTCCCTCTTAAGATTTAAAGTTCACATATTTTTATGCTTAACTTTATCAATTAAATTGTAAATCACATAACTTATAAACAGATTGGTTACTTCAAACACAAGCCCACCCATTCATGGTGGGCACTCCTAAAAACCTTATGTAATCAAGCTGTAACAGATTACTAGCTTGAAACGAACGACATTAAAATTCGAACTGCTTCTGAAGTTACTAAGACAGGGTTCCCATTCCTAGATCGATCTAACAGGATCTAACTATCCAAAATATACCTGTATAGCAGAACACCTTCATACCTGTATACTAGTACAACAAATAACAACTTTACATAGTCCCTTATAAAATAAGATTTAAAATCACTGTGTAATGATAAAATTCTCACCGATTAACAACTAGATAAGTGCTTCTCAAATTTCTTTACACAACCATACATTAGGGTAGCATTAAAAGCAAATTCATGAGGCCAGTTTTCAGCAAACTACTGTTGCAGACGTTTCGATTTCCGTTTGCACTGATCACGTCTAAACTCGCTCCTAGCAGCGTCTTTTGTGAGATCTATAAATCTTTCTTTTTTTGTCGATTAAGTATTTGACATTCCCTTATTTGGCAATCTCTTAATGCATTAGCTCACGCCTTCTAAAACTTGATATTTAAAGCTTTTCATTACGTCCAGTCCACCTGTTATCAACATACTGGAAATATACTTTTTAGATTGTGCAATCAACCAACCAAAAAATAAATATATTTTTCGCCATTTCTTATTACAAACTACAACCATCGTGCAATTTTTTACTTCAAGGAGAAATTTAACTTGTATCCAATACCTTTCTACCGTACCTTTTGTTTATTTGAATTTAACATCAAACTTCTAATTTGCGGTTAATGAAACCGTTACTTTAAACTTTATAGCAGCTTGATTTAATGATTTATGTATAAAATATAAATATGCTCATGTAATGTTGAGCACTTGACAAGTTGGTTAAATTAAAATTTCTCCTGGTTCGTTGCCGACCTGCTGTGTATTTCATTTGCAAGCACGTTGTGAATGTGTATTTTTCAAAGATCAGCTAAATTCCTGTCTACTTAACATGGAAGTTTATGTGGTTTATCTTGGGGTAATATTTGATATTCACGTCCTTGAAATAACTGAAGTGTTGAAATTTTTTTTGATTATAAGATGCTGATTTATATCTATGGGATTGAATTGCAAATTTGTAAGATGAGAGTTTCGAAAACAAGTCAATAAATCTATTTGTCTGCGTGAAAAAACAGGGATGTCAAATTAACGAAAAACATGGATTCTACTCAGACAACGTTTTATACGGTATGTTGAATACGGCTTAATTAGTATTCAACGCTGCGGACTGAATGTTCACATGACGCAGCAGTAGATCCGAGGGTGGGGGGGGGGGGGGGGGGCACCACGGACCTGTACGTGTCCACCCCTGAAGCTGCGGAGGTATCCTTTATCTCCATTCTCCCTGTTCCCCAGATATAAACTGGTATATATATCGGAAAAAAACGAAACGAAACAAAAAAGCAACTTCTACCTATGTGACTTGCATATTATTGTAAGAATGTCCTCGGCTGTTGGTTTACATTTGCCAAATAAAGGCAATTTGTTCTTATCCTTCTGCCCTTTCCCCCTTCGATATGCCACTGTACGGTATCTACCCAGACAACGTTTGATTCAGCTCGTTGGGTTTGCCTGGAGGGCGTGATAAACACTTCACAATTATGAATCAATAAAAGAACAACTGTACTTTACCAAGGACAAGTGAGTATTACAGTATACAATTTGTGTCTAAAAGGGAAAGTAACTAGTGTTTTCAAGAACTAAGTGGATAAACCACACAGAAACACACGGAAATTGGCATTTTAAAATTTCAGTATATTATTTAACCGAAATTTACTTCTGGTTATTGTAGCTGGTAGTACACTACTGTTCTGACTCGGTAGCTTTTATTTACGGTGGTCGCTAAGTGATACTTCATGTCCCTTGAAAATGTTAAAATCAATGAATGTAAATACATTGATGAAAAATATTCCAAGAGTACCATAAACAAAAACCATCATCTTAACTGATGTTGATTAGTTATGTTAACTAGGTAATTTACTTGATAACAAACTTTCAATTTTTGCAAACGCCTATCATATATCAAACCGGCCAGAATTGGATATCAAGATCACTTGATTTTTTGCGCAGTTCAGCAAACGTATAAATACACAGTGTCGGCGATGAAAAACATATCCAGGCCTGGACATGGTAGTCAAAATGGGTAAGTGCTATAATTATTTTATGGTGGCCATGTACTGTAGGTACGTAGAATCAGCTGTAAGGTGGAAATAAATACTTCTTTGTGCTTTAAGCGAACAATTTTAAGAACAGCTCTAGCCCTGCCGTCAATAGAGTTCAGTTTAAAATATACCCATATTTTGATTCATAGATTTCAGTTAGATTGAATTATTATTATTTATTATTATTATTATTATTGACTTTGGGTGTGGTCATCTGGGGGATATATTCAGCTCGAAACTGGGATCATTGACCTACGACTGAATAAGACTATCCAGTAGAGTGTATTTCAGTATAACTTTACCAAATATTACTTCATGGTATGAGTCTATGAGTTATGATTAGATATAACAAATTAGACTTATATTTTAAATATCTTTGGATAAAAGTCAAAGTTTGCTTTATTGATCACTGAAAGGTGTTATCATGACGTAACTCAAATATTCCTCCTTTTTGTGCAGGAACCGTATGGCTTTCAGTTGGTGTTGTAGTTCTCTTGAGTCTTCTCGTGACGACAGAGGCTCTCACACAAGAACAACTTGGTGAGTATTTACGATGGCAATGGAATAAAGAATATAAATACTTTTGGTCATTTGTTTGTATTTTTTCTTGGGTTAATACACCAAATTGTCACATTTGGCCTATTTACAGGCCAGTTTCATAGAAATTAGTAGATTTGTTAATGATCTCCACAACTTTTATGTTAAAATTTGAGTTTTGGCACCATTTGAAAGGAAAAGTTGTTTTGACAAGACATACATTTACTTCTACTTTTAGATTTCATATGCTCAGAGGGTTCATCAGATCAGTACTATTTTGCCCATCCGCTGAGCTGTAAACGTTTCATCCAGTGTGACACATCTCGCACGGGGTTTGACATGCCGTGTGCCGATTACAATTGCTGGAACCAAGACCTCCTCACTCAAGACTATTGCAGTAACGTGGACTGCCGCCCCGGTAGGTGACCATTTGTTCGTTATTATCTGTAGTTTTAATGCACTTTCACGTTTTGTAATCCTTTACTTTTGGAATAATTTTCTTTTCAGCATTTTCTAACTTTAACTGAATAAATTCCATTTTTAGACGGCATGGGGGTAAGTTTTTTTTAGAAATGAATTACACACTTGCCTTCCTCTGTTGTGAGAAGGTTTATTTTTTGCCATTTATTTACGTTAAAAAGACCATAAATGTGTAAAATTCTAAGGGCGTGGCATGTGTTTACTTTGCAGAAAGATGCTGCTGTTATGTTGTGGGGGATCCACACTATCACACATATGATGACAATTCAATCCATTTTCAAGGTGAGGTACTGCAAATTAAACTACTCTAGATAGCTGGAAACATTCTACAAAACAATACAGATAGTCATACATATATAATTTAACAGGGGATTGCGTGCGACGTTGCCACATATATATTATATACATACCTAGGGATGTTATGTGACCGTGGCGATATGATGATCACTGAAGCCTGTCCATTTAGACAAGCTTCAGTGAAGATCGAGGGCAACCTCGAGCCGCTACCCAAAAATATCTCGCTTCACTCGACATTTCTGCGTAGCGTCTCTCGGAAAACTCGGATATAACCTCGACATAGTCTAGTATTTCACGACTACATCTTGGTTAAACCAGTCGAGGTCTCTGAAATGATGGAAGTCAAAGACAGATTGATCATGAGACCTTCTTGGCATCAAGAGAATAGTGATGTTGCTTGCGTTATATATCTACCGGTAGACAAATTTAAAATCTCTCACACTCTTCAAAAATTAGCATAATCATTTCACATTTAACAATTATTATTTATAATTTTACTACACTAAGTCATATCACATGGATATGGTTTGAAAACAGGAATTAGTTTACATTTAAGCCACACATGCGTACAAATTATTTGTAAATCTATAACTTTTTAACGAGGGTTGTGTTATTTACCCTTTGTATTTAAGCTGTTCATTCTTCCTCTTTATCAGATATATCAGTAAAAATCAAATATTTCCCCCTTTGAACTTGTAATTACATGTAGCATGCTCCATGCTCTGAAACCAGCACATGTATACTCCGAAACCGCCTCGTAGTAAAAAATGTCACCAAAAAGTAGAAATATTACTCCTGTGGCCTTGAAATAAACATCCGTTTGATTTTGACTATATTCCGTAACCGCCTCGTCGTCAGAAATAACAATAAAAACTAGCATTATTACTCCCGTGAACTTGTAATACACATCCGTTTGTTTTTGACTATATTCCGAAACCGCCTCGTTGTCAGAAATATCACCAAAAAGTAAATTTCTTTCTCCTTTGCACTTGTGAAAAAATAGTTTGACTCATTCCGGTCCGACGCTCCTTGTTTATCAGAAATGTCACTTAAAAGTAGCCTTGGGACCTTTTTCTGCAGCAGGTTCTGCTAGGTGTGGCTCAGCTGAGACGCGCATGGTCAGTGTCGACGATTGATTAAATACTTTTCACGCCAGTTGAACGTCCATGACAAGTATTTAGCAATAATTGACCAAATTGGGCAGACATTACGTAAGAATTTGGCGGGAGGTGACCAGCGCATGTGGACGAGTTTATTTCATATAACATCCCTAGAGCGTGATATAGGGTCATTTTATTCGGTTTAATTTTAATTTATTTATCGGTTTAATCGGTTTTATTTATCGGTTTAATTTTAAATAATTTTAATTTGGCGGGAGGTGACCAGCGCTAGAGGTGTTCATGGCATATATCGCGAGAGGGTGACAGCGTATTATCTCACACTTATCACTTGTCTCTTCGATTCGAATTCTGCCACACAACCGTATAACCAATGGGCCTAATGTGTGATACAACATGAGTATGCATAATTAAGTCTTAATGATTTTGAAATGTGATATGTCCCCCTAAAAGGTGAATGCAGGTACACCATCACCGAGACGTGTTTCGATCCGGCAGTCCACCCGGAACTTACAGAGTTTACCATTGAAGGAATCAATTACGTGGATCCCAATTTTAACACGGGTCGTTCTTGGCCAAAGGAAATCTACATTGATGTTTTTGAAATGAAATTCAAGCTTGATCAAGGAGACCCAGCGCCTGGATTAGCAGGTCCATCCGGCCCACCGAAAGCTTTTAAGTTTGTGGTAAGCATAAAAAACAGCTTTTAAACAAACATGTGGCCAAATAAAGTAAACCTGCTTAAATGAATAGTTCATGTAAAAATATTACAATCACCGGGGCCTATCCATTTATGGGACCACGAGTGCAGCAGCAGCATATGTACTGACGCAGTTGTCAATATGGTGTAAATAGTACCTTCCAAAAGTGTTATTTATAAGTTACATATTGAAAGGATGACAAGAATCCATATATAGTTGTACATAATTTATTACACCCACAGTGTTGCAGTCCATTTTTATGTCAAAGTGTAACCACCATCATATCCTAAAATCAGATGTCGGCTGGGAATCAACTTTGTCAGTCATTTTCTCAAAAACGCTGTACTTTTTTACCTTTGTAAAAATTGCAGTATGTGGAAGAATAATATAACCAGAAACAATCAGGCAGATTATTATTGATTGCCTGAAACTGGCCATAGATACACGGTTTGAAATCAAAGTAGGAAAGAAGTCGTCCAATACTCACACGCACACATGTTAAGATACTTCATGGTGTATTACCACTTCATAAGATAAATGCTCTGATTTTACTGTCAAATCGACTTCACAGGATAAAATGCGACTTCATCTCCACATGAAATATTGCCTGCGACTTCATGGGATAATGGTGAAAAAGTACCTATTGTTGGCCCAACGTTATGAGAGAGAACGTTTTTGAAATATAATGTTTTTCTACTGTAAATATTATCCAACATAGGTCAACTGTACGTTTTAATTTACTTGTATGACTGAACAGGGTTACTTAGGTGGTATTGGATGCATGTTTTGAGCATATGTAGGTGAGGATCCAGTATTTCTAAAAATCAGTACATTATGGGAGATTATGGTCAACGTCCAGACCCCCTAGGCCCTCCCTTCCCAGATTTGCTTGATACATAAAACTACTGGATCAGGTAAACCAGGCTATGAAAACATAATTTACGCGTAGTTTACTGGATTATAAGATGGATAAATAAACAAATAGGAAACATTTTTTAAAGATAAATAAATAGATAATAGTGTTGAAAAAGAAGCAGAGAAGGTACATGTATATAATTGTGCACTACAGCCTTCTTGATCAAGTCGCGCCCCACTCTGAAAAAAATAATTATTCCATGAGGAAAAAACGCGCAGGTGTAATGCGTCTGTCTGTTTACGTCTGTCCCTTGGTTTCCGAGAGGCTCTGTTCTGGTCTTACACCTGTTAATGTCCATCATGGCGTGATCAAACGTGTTCCCGAAATGTGCCCTTGGCTGGCTCTCATTTGACCCGAAAGTATTATCTGCGGCTTAGGTCTACTTAGGTCTACTTGTTGACCTGCGAGATCAACAGGCTTGTAGATTGATATTTATTCAGAATAAATTGATGAATTGAAAGAGTTAAGTTGCTAAGTAACTTATATTACGTATGATTGCTTATTTCTTTTGTACTTACACCTCACCCGAGCACTCGTAATTGATACCCTGTTACTTGGTTTTAATGTGAAAGATAAGAGCGTAAATTAACTACAGCACACTACAGCCTGGGGAGTCATTCCTTAAGATAGTTGTAAAGCCGCATTTTGAAAACCAAAGAAATACGTGATAACGCAATCTGCGACTATAACGCATTTAGCAACCAATTTCTTTAAAGTAACTGGATCTATTTGAAGTAATTTAGAGATAGAGTCGGGATGGGAACGGGGTTGCCTTGACATCATAGGCTGAATCTGGTGCCTGTCCCCGGGGTGGATGATTTATATTTTATACATATAACAATTTCTGTTATCTCCCCCAAGCACACAACAATCAGTTTTTTATTGGATTCCTTGACCTACATTCAAGCACTCAGCTCTCCAGTGCTGTGTGCTGACCTTTTCTTTTTCAAATTACTTAAGGGCCCATTCACAATCATAATGACAGTTGCAGAGCCGCATTTTGCAACTGAACGCATTTTGCAACTGAAACGCCTTTTGCACCCAAAGAAAATCGTGAAAACGAGTTTTGCAACTGCAATGCATTTTGCAACCAGGGTTTTTTATATGTCCCTAAAACGGTGTGAAGTACGGGGTGTGGTTGTCCCACAGGGTGGTTGATTGTAATTTTTACATCGTTATATCTGCTATCTACCCGTAGATCTTTAGTAGTGTGACTTTGCAGTCCTTTGGGGTGGGATATTTTTTATATCGTTGTTACTGTTATCCTCTAGTCATTAAAGTGAGGAACATGAGACGTTGGGGATATTTAAACTTGCCATTAGGGATGTGCACGTGTCCTTCGGATTTTTGGTGACTATGGGTGTTGCCGTCCCTAGGGGTTGTTGATTATTAACTTTTAATTGTATTTTCTGCTATATACCCATAGGTCTTTAGGTTGAAGCAACTAAAATGTAGGGGTGTGCATAGGTACATGGTTTTTTTTTTGTTTTTTTGTTTTTTTTTGTGACCTGGGGTGTGGCTGTCCCTGGGGATGTTTGACTAATATATTACCGTAATTTATTTCATCTTCTCCTAGACCATTCGAATTAGGAACACGAGTCTTTGGTGCATAAGTGGGCTACATGGGAATTTTAGTGTGACTTGAGGTGTGGCCGTACCTAGGGGGTTGGGTGATTAGTGGTTTGTCAGACAATGAAGCTTATTCCATATATTGCAGTTAAGTCAGATTCCTTGCAGAGTTGAACCGACCCAGCTAGTGGATCTGAAGGCGGTCTTCGAGTTAGGAAGGAAGGGGAAATGCAGAGAAAGCAGCTGACAGTACTTAATAACAGACCTTCAGTCGTATTCTTGAATATAGGTCAAGTTAATTAAAACCCATTCAAGACCCCATAATCTCAGGAATCTTACACCCCATTTCCATAGATTTTTAGATCGATCTATCCCTGTGGGGAGTCTCACTAGATTACTGTCAGCTTGGCCGGCTTAAGCGTCTGTCCCGCCTACTAAAAGCTGTCAGGGGGTAATTAACTATGGTGTCCGCTCGGCTGACTGCAATTTAGCCTGAACCCCCAGGGAGTTAGGTCGATCTAAAACTTAATCTTTAGATCGATCTAAATCTCTGGGAAAGCACCCCTAGGGTCCAAGTCCCGTTGTCCTTTAACATAAAACACACATGTTAATTACTGCTCTTGGGTAATAAACATTTTTGTTTTGTATTAAGACACAACAGCAGTTAAACGCTAGGATTCCTGATCGAGTGTGTGGGGCCTTGAATTAGTTTTTAATTGGATTCCCTGACCTATATTTATGCATATGGTTGGAAGTCTATTCAGTTCTGTATGTGCTTCTGCTGTTCTCTACATTTCTCAAGGACCCATGCACATTCACTAAAAATGATGGACATAGTGAGATAAAGACATAGATTAAGATACAAAGAGAGAGAGATGGAGAGAGAGAGAGAACAGGAACCAAAGTTTACAGTCAGCCAAATAAATCATGTAGCAGAAACTATACCTGCCTGTCTCAGTTGTCTTACTAGTGAAAAGCAAATCAAAGAACCTGAATAACCAACGGACATGGGGTTTATACAGTGTTGTTATCTGACGTTGATACAACGTTATTATTTGACGTTGATCCAACTTTCAAATCCAATGTTAATCCAACGTCTTGTCAACTTTGAAGTCAACATTGTTTCAACGTTGAAACAACATGATTTTGCCCGCTGGGTTCACACTATTTATTGACCAAGAAAAAATTCTGGTTGCAAAATGCGTTCCGGTTGAAAAATGTCTTTTTCACGCTTTTGTTTGGTTGCAAAATGCGGCTCTACACCAGTTTTACGAATCCCCAGCATTTCATTCTCCCCGACATCTATCTGGACAGTTGACCGTTTCAAATCACTCAGATTTCAGATTTTCCACCTTAAACGATTTCATTACGTATATAGGCCAAGGGGTCTATCTTTTTTAAACGACCGAGACATTTTATGCTGCATATCAAGAGAAAAGATTATTTTGACAGCTTGTTATTGCAAGTCATAACATTTATGTCATAGTTACATAAGAGATACTTCTATAACACGAACTAGAAAAGCACTCCGAGAGCGTAGACCTTCGCCAAGGCAACAATTCTTTATTATTATTCATTATTGATTGGTTATTGATCCGGATCACCACCAAAAACTAATCACTTCTAAGTTAACCCATTTCTGACCTACCCTGAAAATTCCATCAAAATCGGTCCATAACTTTTTGAATTATGTTGATGACAAACATATGTTGATGACAAACAAACAAACAGACAGACAGACAGACAGACAGGGGTGAAAACATAACCTCCTCGGCGGAGGTAATAATGGAATAGAGGGTTTGTTAAAGATATCAATGTACACCTAATGTGGAGCAAAATTAAAATCTCTCTGCCTATAGTAGAGTTCTCTACCTACAATGGAAAGACATACATTCTTGCTACTGTGTACTAACCACATCTATAAACCTGCGCCGTCAATCAAATCACACATGTCCTAGTTTAAAGGCAGGTAATGTGTTTATTTATAGACTTGGTTTGTCTTATACATGTAGTGCCTTAAACCCGCCATGATTCAACGTCCAAATATTGTCAGTTTTAAATCGTCCTGAAATCAGAAAAATCTCAAAACTAAATGGGTAAAACAAAAAACTAGCTTATGCTTTCCGTCACAGGACCGGAGCTCTTGAAATAAAGTACATTATTTATAGAAGTTAATCTCACGGGTATCTACGATAACATCTGAAAATAACAGCTTCATTAAACTCCAACGAGATAAAATACGCACTGTTATGTGAGTGAGTAATGCTACTCCACCCCACCCCCCACACCCCATTGCAAATACACACGTCACTCTCGAAATCATGATCTAGAATGAAACATCATATCGACCTTTACGCCTAATTTCCACATCCAACCAGAACTGAAACATATGTTTGGATACAATGTCCCATGAAGAGGTAATATACTATAAAGTCTCCTAAGGGTCCTTATTTTTTTAACCAATGAAGTCGCCTTCTATCATGAAGTAGTAATTCTTATCCTATGAAGTGGTAATATACTATGAAGTATCTTAACACGTATACTTTTTACCCTTGTTTCTTTGTCGCAAGTGTGAACCCTTTTGATCAAGACTGTATTCAAATATTTGAATTTGATAATTGTTTTGCCTAGAGTGGGACTATAGGGAGAGAAATTTGGTTCCGAGCACGTGATTGGCGTCACGATATAGTAGTATATATAGGATATCGATTTAAAGGGAATTTCTCGCACACTTTTTGGTTAGAATGTCACGGAAAATCTAAACAAAATGTAAAAAATCGAGATGAATTCAAGGCATCCAAAAGCCGTGAAACTACTTAGTAAAATAATGGTACGTTGTTCTGGATATTTTATTGAAAAAATATAGAACATTCGTCATTTGAGTAAAGTTTGTTTTGATTGTATTCTCATGTGTAGGATGATTGGGAACTAATCTTTTATGGCGGCGGCCCTATTGAAGTGTGCAATGAAGGAAGATGCGTCAGCATATCTCTTAATGATGACAACTTTATTGTTTTCGAATTTGACTTCGGCGTTATCATCGACTGGGGTGAACACCGCTTTACTAGACGCTATAAAGTTAACATATGCATCCCCGGGACATACAGAGGAATGTTGTGTGGTATGTGTGGCACCTGCAATGGGGATAAGGACGATGACTTTTCTCTGAAGGACGGGACGTATGTGGGCGATCTTTATGACAGTTCGTCCTGGGCAGTAATCCAGGGCATGTACGACCAGATCGGAGAGAGTTGGCTGGTTCCTGATCCCAGTCTCGGACCGGAGTAAGATATATGAAATTAATATAATTTTAATGAATCTTAAAGTCTTGCCATTCATTCTTGAAATTGTTCACGTAGGGTTGAACTTGCTGTTGTTAATGTTATCAATGTCATAAAAGTAGGTCCATTAACATATTAAAGCCAATATTATATGCTGAGTTTGAAATAACATTTGAAGAGAGCGTGAATTACTTAATTGCAATTTGTACCTGTATAGCACTATTAGTTTTTTATGCCACTCATAAAAGCCGACAATTAAACCGAATAAATCACTCGATCAGCTGTAAAAGAGCTTCAAAACTGCCGTTTCTTCAAATCTCTGGTCGTAAAATGATGACCTATTTACCCGTTCTCAGTTCGCAGAAGTCCGCATAATGGAGTAGTAATGCATGGTGCATTACTGTTAAGCCCGGTTATTTAAATGGGTTGCCGAAAACGACCAACGATATCACAGAAAGAAATCAGAAAAATATTCGGGAAATATGAAACGATTCCCTTTCGTATTTCTTTGAGTTGTATTATTATAAATTATAAAGTGGCATTTGGTCGGGTTTATGGCAAAATTGTCAATTAACAAGTTGCTATTTCTGATGCACTGATGTACTATTTCTGTTTTGCTGCTTTAGGACCAGAGTAATTTACACACGCCTTGGTAATTTTTCTTATCATGCTGAACAGAATCCGACAATTTTTTTTGCATTTTAACAGGTGCCAGGCACCAGGTGGGAGGAGACGCAAGCGTCAAGCTTCTTCAGAGCAAAGGGACTGCGAGGAAAATATCCTCTGTGATGTCATAAAAAACGTTGAAGGCGTGTTTGGCAGATGTGCTGCAAGTTCACTCGTGAATTCCGAAGAGTACTACGTGTCCTGTGCAATTGATGTTTGCTCAGCCTCCGGAGATGAAGCAACATTGCCAGAGGTAGGTAAATTTATTTTAACATGAGATAGGCCCTACATTGATGCTAAATTCTAAAAAAAATTCTACCCATCAAAATTAATTTAATTTTATTAATTTTAGGAATAAATTCAAAATAATTAAATATGGAAAATGAATTTTGAATGATTAGAAACGATTACAGAGCTTTCTCTCCGAATGCAGGTTCAGCATGAGGTGGCGTGTGGTATCATTGAGACCTATGCTAAAGCGTGCGAAGAAGCAGGACTCGGGGTATTCCCTGGAGCTTGGAGAGAAGTAACAGATTGCCGTAAGTTTATCAGTTAGCTGTCATTTGGTCATCAATTTGTCACAATGTGCACATAATACGACAGAAACCAGTAAATTATGCAGACCTGCTGGTTCTAACTTCATTAGCAAGTACAGACTTGACATTTAATATGGAATATTTTTTTCCAAACCATTTTTCATCAGTTTTTTCCTATTTTGCAGACTGATAAATGAAAATAAGGATTTAAATCGTGTTGTAATAACTTTTGATTATCTCTTTGATGTCATTGTGACATCAGTTCATTAATGGAATTCGCCAGAGAAGCAAACAAAAACACATTGCCTATTATATGTCATACGACAACCATTAAAAGGAATATTTTGGACCTCCATATTTTCCAAAATATTGTCTGTAAAAAGAGTTAAACGCTCCACAAAGGACCCTCATGTCAGTGTCTAGTCACAGTAACGGTCGCTGTTACGCCTGACTTCTTCTGGCTGCTACCAGCGCTCCAAGTGGCAAGGCATTCCTTGGGATAGGTTTTTAAAGTTCAATCTGGAATACCATTCCAGGCATCAGTCAAATTCTGCCCAATTTGGTCCAGTTTTGTTGTAGGACATGTAGGCCATTGATTCGGAGAGTAATGGCCTACCCACATATTGTCTATTTGGTTCAAATATGGCGATTTTGATGACCAAGGTAGCTGCTCATTCCCTTGGTTCTGTAAGTAAACTGCTATTAAAAGTGCTCTGTGTGAACCAGCAATCTCACCGTGCAACCTAAAATTGTTGCTAAGTTGTCCCCAATCAAATGATAGCCAAGTGGTTCCCAGATTATTTCTTTATTTGATCTGGTTCAGATTTTCGTCGATGACTACCATTGGTGTTTGGCAGCAATGTGGTTTCCACTCCAAATACTGACGCTGTTAATGACCTTAGTCACTTTAGACGCGGCACACGCTTCGTCGTTGGCCTCTTCTGGATGTCTGTAAACTGTTTTGACTGTTGAGGGGTACAGGTGAAATCTGACCTTAGTAAAGAGAGCCACGAGATTTCAGTGTTCAACCCAGAAACAGCCAAGGTCCCCAATTCAACAGAGAAACATACAACGATGTTTTGCTGTTTACAGTGGGTTCCTCGGAGGTCGTCTGGTATTCTAACCTGCTAAAACCAGTTTGGCGTTGCTAAGGGCCTTGAAAAATGCGTTTTGGTGGTAATTTACCCCTCATTCTGAACGGACTTGGTGGTTTTGTTTAGTTGCAACAGCATATCCCGAAAGGCAGTGGGTCCTGTACCCTGGTGGTAAGATTTCAATACATTGGGTGTGGCCTCTGTGTAGGTACATTAGTCTGAGCATTACTCTGTAAAACTGTGCGGACCGTTTCGTTTGGCGCAATTACCTGTCTGGCCAGTGGCAATGCCTGTCTTTTTCGCGCCATTCTGCCACAGATTAACAAATTTGTAAAGCACTGCATAGCTCATTTTACACACTGCAAACCCGACCACTTGCATGCAAAATTTCAAATTCTTCTATGCAGTAGTTGCCGACATGGATACTTTTTTGACAGAACCATGCTTTGCCAAAGCCAAGCTTTGACCTGCCCAAAGGAGCACTACCCAATTAAATCACTGAATATTACATAATGCAGCAGCGCAACAAACCTGGTAATCAGTTAATTGGTAGCGACACACCTGACTACACACTTCTCCATTCACATATCTTATATGAGATCGGAGTTTGTGAAAAAAAAACACATTTTCACCTAGGCATACATTCGAAACTGAAATATTCCATATTAAATGTCAAGTCTGTAGTTTGATAAAATGCGTATGTGATAGGTATAGAGATAATAATATACAGCGTGCACTGAATTCTTTCAATATCTATTTTCGGAGATCTAAGGTCGTTTGATTTGTTTATTGTTCTTTCCTGTTCTAGTTCAGATATTGATAAAATAACTCGATCTTGTTGGTCTTTTTTACATATCTTGGTCATATTTTTCTCTATTTTCTTGAATAGCGCTGCATGGGTGTAATGCGGAGGGATACAACATGCGTTATAATGCAAGCATGACTAGTTGTCCAGCCTCTTGTGTCAACCCCTCGGGCTCCGAGCAATGTGCTTCACAAGAGGGGTGCCAGTGTCTGGCCGGGTACGTCCGTAGTGGACATCTGTGTGTTCCTCGGGACCGTTGTGGTTGTGAGGATGCAACGGGTGGCTACCATCAGGTAATCTTATTATATCCTAGAACGTGTGCTTTCACCTTCAAAAGGAATAGGTAGTTTTATGGACTTCTATACATCCAAACGTCAAACATTCATTAAAGCAGTTCCACCTCACCTCCCCATACACACATACATACACAAAAAAGCATTTTTTGCTCTCTTAAATGTCCATGTATGTGCTTAAAAGGCATTAGACCGACCGGCTGGCCTTGTGGCCAAACTGACCTAAGAATATTAAATAAAAAAGATTCTTCACCATTGCAAGATAGAGCCTTAGCCTTGTAAAGTGTTTTTAAATACTTTAAATTAAAACAATTAAAATGACTGATGTCAGCTCTTTTACACATCAGTCGGGCCTGGACAGCTCATAGTGCGCAGTGGATACCTTAGAATAGTACTAAGACGATAAACTTCCAAAATATCCACACTGCTTGACCTGTAATACACCTGTATCTTTCAGTTAGGGGACACATGGGCCTCTCGTAACTGTACTCATTGGTACATGTGTGTGGAACCGAACCAAATAGAGGAAATACAGAGTCCATGTGGTGTAGGGAGCCAGTGCCAGCTTGTAGATGGCCTGTGGACGTGTACCGATTCCATCAAAACTACTGAACCCCCAGTGATAGTATAATACCAAAATGTAGGTAAAGTATACATAGACAAATACTTTAATGATTTGAGGTTTTTTCATTTAAATGCAAACGCTTATTCTCAATAAATAGGTGCATTGGGGATACTGAAATTAACGACGGTTTAAAATTTAGTCCGTTTATGTATATTTGTGTGAGAACTGAAAAATGTAGTAATACTTTTTTTAGTGATTTAAGTTGCTAGACTGATGTTAGTAAAATTCCACTTGGAAAAACAATTCTCCTACTCGTTTTGTTTTAATAAAATAAAATCAATTGTCATATGGACCCATATAATGAGAATGAGTGTAGTCAGCCAGCCAGTCAGTTTTTTCTTAATCATGACAAAATGTTGACAAACTTTTTTCAAACGACGGTATTTGAATTTTAATTTTATTTTAAATCACACATACAGTATATATATATGTAGGTGTTTGATATTTCAATTTACTAATAATTGTTTAATTATGCATCACTTTCAGAAGCTGTGTTACTTCTCTGACGTCATGCTAGTGAGCGCTGCAAACTTCTTCACATTCTACAGCAGTTTAAAAAACTGGGGAAACATTTTCTGAGCATTTTTGTGGATATATAGAAGGCGTAAAAAACGTTCAATCGTTTTAACCATTTTACCGACCATAAAATTATGTACTTGTAGATACAATGAATGATGACTGTGCAGTAGCCTGCTACAGTATGTTAGAGTATCTGATTAAAAATGTACCCATGCGACACTAGCATGTACACGTCATAAGAAAATTACCGGAATAAAGATTATTTGCGGTACCTTACAACGCTTCTTGCTTCTTTGTTTTTTCCGAACAACTTGATTTAATAAGACACATTGAAGAATATAATGAGTCGAATTTCCTATGGTTTTCATCTACATCACTTATCTGTAAGCTGACAATTTCTCCAATCACTGGGGTAGCTTCTTTTTCTAGGGTTGTTAGTGTGTACTGTGTTTTCTTTCCCTTTATTCCCAGTTTCTTCTTGAGACCTTCAGTGCAGAAGGTGGAATTTGAACCGCTGTCTAGTAGTGCGTACGTTTGCACTACATTGTTTCCATTTGGGTTTTTCACCTTCACTGGCACTATGGGTAGTCCAATTGCAACATTTTCCGTGTCAACAAACCCATTAGCAGCACGTGGAGGGGTAGAGGAATTGTTCTCATTTGGCATACTATTGTAACTATGTAGAAGAGTATGATGCCTTTTCCCACAAACTTCACAGTTCCTTTTAAATTTACATTCATGTGCTGTGTGGTTTGGTTTAAGACATTTGAAGCACAGACCTTTGCTTAACACCATCTTCCTTCTTTCTTCATATTTGTCTGACACAAAAACTGGGCACTGGTCCAACCAATGATCTTGGCTGCATCTGATACAATGCTTGCTGACTGCTGCAGGCAGATTACCTTCTCTTGAGAAACTTTCTGATGCTTTGGATTCAGCAATAAATGACCGAGCCTTGATGGACGATTTGCTTGAAACAAGTGACATGTCAACCAAAGAACCAAATACAGGGTCACGCCTCTTCTCTGCTTCCACTTCAACCATCTCTACCACATCATTCAAAGTCGGAAATTTGCCCAATGCTGTGATCTTGTGATTGTTCTCTAACCATTTTTTCCTCATATCTAATGGAAGTTTCTCAATAATTCTTCGTAAGGATTGTCCTGTATTTAATTCTGCCTCACAATTCATGGCACTTAACGTATCTTGGCACCCTCGAAGTGTATCGGCGAATGCTCTCAATTGTGCACTGTCTTTTATTGATTTGTGATTTAAAACTTAGNTACAAATCAGCTTCTTCTTTCTTTAGGTCTGTTCCGTGATAGGCAAAAGTCTAAACTGCTTGTAGCGTCCAATATCTTAACAAACGCAGGTTGTCTGTTTGAGCCTTTATTGATCCACTACAATAAGATACGTTCTGAAATAATAATAAATACAGATACTTAACATCTATACTTCATGATCCTTTTCAATATGACTTACTTATATAATGACTGAATGTCACTGTTATTAAATCAATTTCTTTTATAAGTGCATTACAAAGTTAAGAAGAAACAAATTAATTCCAAAATTAAATGATAACATACATAAACTAGCTACTCACTAGACTTGTCTAGCCTCGACTTGTGAAACATGACAAAATACCGTATAACCTTTGTCTGCTGACACTGTAATAAATATAAAACAACTTCATGAAATTATGTAGCTAGCTGAGATAAACATACTCAATATCTAAGGAAAGAAAATAAACGTAAACTAACAGGCCTGACAAAGATTGTTTGTTAACCACGCCTAATACATTCATGCATTATAACACGTGTTCTTAAAATGCCTTTACATTACTTGCAAATTTATATGCTAATTACGTAATGAGCTATAAAATAGGTCTAGTAACCAAGCAACATATATAAAATGAGTTTTAAGAAAGGACCGGGCAAATACATACTGTACTTATTTGTCTTTTTTTTCTACTTTCTCTTCATACGTGCGAGTGTTGCGTCCTCCGTGAATCTGAACGTGTGCACCTCTCCCAACTTACGAATCTCTTTCTTCTAAAGATCATTTTCTCAACCAAATACATAGCAATTGCACCGAATGCAGTATGTGAGACTACATGGTAATTACTTTCCCTTAAACACGGGATATAGAATTCTAGCCACTACAACTAGTTTTGTGGGAGTAAAACGCTGTAACTGTGTTGTTCTTTTCATGTTTTGCACATGTATGTGTTTGCGAGTGTGTTTTTTTTCTGAATGCTTAATTTTAAATTTGCCAAAACAAAGTGCCATTTATTCGACAATTAGAAGGGGACCGAATATTGCCGAAGGGAGGGGCACGTGCTGTGTACATGTAGCCTACATCCAGTGCATCCATGGTAATTGTGTGCAAGATAAAAAAAATATATCGTTTCCGCGTGGTGTGATAATAGTTGAGCATCTTGTTAAATGTGGTCGACTTTCATAAACATCGAAATTGAAGTTTCATGGTCGCGGTTAGTACAGTAGAGAAACATTTGCGAGTTGTCAGTTTACTGCAATGAACAGGATAATTTTGACCTACCTTGAGAAGCAAACGCAGCAATCAGCAAGGGTGATTAAAGAAATCGTCGAATTCATTATAAATCATAAGAATTGAAGTAATCTGGCTCAGCAATCAGATTTCACCTATGGAATAAATAAAGCCAATAATTCAATGTCGCTGGATTGTGTTAGAGAAGACAAGATGCTATTGTACTTGATCGAAAATTTTACCAGCAGAATATTTTGCAAACATTCCATCTTGTGCTGCATTGCAAGTCCGGTAATTAACCCTGTGTGTTTGCCAAGTGCCCTGATTCATGCATTAAGATCAAGTGTCCCGAATTCTCTATGAATGTTTAAGAGTCCCTTTTTTCTTTTGAAGATCCTACATTCAGCAATACATCTATCTACATGCAATGTACCATCAAATAATCTTTGCACCCATAAAACTACTTCAAAACTCTGGTACCATCTTACATGTTTCACCACTTCTCTCCTTCAATTCCCTATTTTGGCAACTAAGTGACTGTTAAGTTTATTATTTTATGTTGGCAAAAAATACAAACACTGTGAAACCTCACTCTTTTGTATAATTATTTTATTTGAAAAGAACAATAGAATGCTACATTTGGACATTTGAACCATACCTCAATTTAGTGTGTATGACATGCTTTGCTTATTCAGTGATGATTTACTGCATATTCATAAAATAGGGATTAATTTAGAGATTAATGTAGTTTATAATCCTTGTCCTATTACCAACTCATTAGTAAATTGTTAAGCCACAACAGCGCATATTCATTACATACTGTAATTACTGTAACAGTAATACAATGGCATGTATGTCCACACCATGTAAGTAGTAACCAAAATCTGATGCTTCAGGTTAAACAACCTGCTGATCAATTATTTATGGTTACAGAAAAAATATTCCAAATACAAAATAATCTAAGAGCAAGAGGTACATGTTCTGTATATAAATGTAGTATACACGTTTCATTAATTCATATTGTTATATGTATGACACAGATGCTGGACAAAAATATGGCAGTGTTTTACTTTACTACATCATAAACATTTTCACAAATTACACTGTGTGTATATTCACAATACAATTTTTCACAAGAAATTGAAAGCACCAGTGTTTCACTTTCCAGTGTTGTTCTGTACAAATAAACAACAAATTTTCACATTACAGAACTTGTTTTACACGTCTTGTTTTTCATGGTTACAGTGCAACCCATCACTGTTTTTCCATAAGATAAACAAAATACAACTTACATATCACTATGCAGTAATTTTTGAATTACCTTGCTTATTGTCTAACACTTTTCTTGCATTCAATACATTTCATAAGATGAGTGAAATTTTCACTGAAAACAAAGTAAACTTTTGAGTGAAAGTTTTTTGTTTGCATTATTTGATTTTTTGATAACATAAACAATTCCCCGGGTTGGTAACAAAAATCAAAATACATTATTTTGCAATATTTATCTACTCATACACTGTACCAGTAATTGGCTGGAAAGTATCAGTTATGCCAACAGATCACCTTGTATCAGATAATGCACTATTTTCAAAAATGAGAGCAAAAGTTAGATTAAATGGAGAAAAACATCCAAGTACATTGTATGGCATGGATTTCTGTTGATAAGAGTACAGTCCACCAACATTTAATATGCGCATCCTTTAACTTCACCTTTATCTTAATTTCATATCATTTAGGTAATGAACCAGTAGTAAAACAAAAGTATTAAATGTGGCACAAAGACTGACACACTGCTTAACAACACAGCTCTAGAAATTTGGAATGTCTTTACGTCTTTATGAAATATATCTGTGTATAACTCATTCATAACCATGATAATTATCTGAATGCTTTATGTGTATTTTCAAAATCCAAATACTTTTTATATTTGTTAATCAGTCTTTTATAAGTCATTCACATTCAGATTACCATATTCACATATCATCTTCACTGCCTGGATAAAAAATAAATGAGTAAATAAACAAAACATAACCATTTAATATATAAATTTGTGCACTACAATTAAATGCATGCTCATAATGCAAGATATCTTAGGAGAAAGTTTTAATTACCCTTGTAAGAGTGTTATGCCACAGCACCATCTAACTTATAACAGCATAAATATGTTCTCAAATTATAAAACAGGAATGAGAACAGTCATAACAGTATTACAAAACTGGCATGTTAAGTCCTCTCAATCAGATCCACAGTTTAACAAAGTTTGACATTAACATACAAACATTTTTTTTTCATATTTACTTTTAGAGTATGACACAGTTGTCCTTAACAGCTATGAATTCAACTTTTAGTCCATCAAATAAATGCCATGCACGGATTCTATATAAAGATAATACATTTTTGCAATTTTAAAGTAGCACATTTTATGATGAAAAATATATATGAAACTTTCAGTAGCAGATCTATAATGTTCAGAGAAAAGACTATCCATTTAATAAAATATCAATAAAAAAATAAAATGTTAAAAAATTACTCACCAGTGGAATGATTTCAGCATTTGAAATCTTATTTTAAAGTTAAAGTGTTAATGCTTAAAATAAATAAATAAATAAATAAATGATGGCCTTTGCTGTTAAAATCCCTACACCCTACCCGACCTCCATATTCCAAAGTTTAATGTGATAGTTCATTGATTAAAACTATCCAAAATATATCTGTATACTACAGCATCACACCTTCACATATTATATCAACAAATAAACTTTACACTGCCCCTTATCAAATAACATTTAAATCACAGAGTAATGATAAAATTCTTACCGATTAACAACTAGATAAGTGCTGCTCAAATGTCCTTTAACAACCATTCAGTAGGGTGAGCAATAAAAGAACATTTATGAGGCCAGTTTCAGAAAAAAAACTGTTTTCAGCAAATGACTGTTGTTTCAGGCTCCTTTGCCAATTTTGCCTGTGTATTCAAATTTAACAAAACTCCTAGTGAGCAGTTACTACCTGGTGAAGCCACTGTGACACAGTCCATAAAATATTCTGAACCAGCATTTTGGAGTTACCTCTATCCTAAAAGACTGTCTCTGTTAATAATTTTATTGCACATGATTATAAGTCTTTTAGGACATTCTGGTGCCACTAATAAAACCGCCAAGTATTATATGTTTGTTATCCTCCCCTTATTATCTGATTATCTATTTATTAATGATTATCTATTTACTGCTGATTAATATTATGACAAACCAATTAAATCAACTCAGTTTTTTCTGCAGCCAGGTAACAGTGGCATCCTGGCAGTTCTTGATCCAGAAGATATTAGCTTTAATACTTTCAAGTGCTTGCTTTGATGCAACTTCACCAGTCCCCAGTTTCTCTGCATTAGCTTTAAAGAAGTTTTTCAACTGTAAAAGATATTTAAAAAAATTGAAGTGACTAACATGGAAGAATTTTAATGAAATTATCAGCTTTTCAAGGGGAAATAAAAAGTCGCAAATATTAGATTGAATCCAGGTCTCATAGTATTTTCTTAAGTTTATTTTATTTTTCTTTAAATTTTGCCTTGACAGGGCTCCTTCCATGCTCTTGGGAGTATATCTCTAGTTTCTAACACAATTTGCAGGCATTTAGCAGAAATCAAGGATGGACTAACCTACAGTAAAAACCGAGTACTACCCACCTGCACATAGTCCCTCTGAGTATGGAGAGTCTGGGTTGTTTTCTCTATTAAACGACCTATCTCAAATGAGCCCTCACCATACCTGTATAATATACAAACATCATGTGCAGATACATATTTCAAGATACAAACAGGTATTTTAATTTTTGTATAAAAAATGAATAAAACATCATAAACTGTGTATGGTTTTGTACTTTTACAAAAAGGATAACCATTCAAAAGGACCTTTCTTGTTTGAAATGTCTGTGTCTGAAAAAGGATAATTTTGCACTGAAGCATGTTTTCACAAAATAAGAGTCTGAACCACAAATAAAACTTGCCTGTATATATTTCTAGTTTTGAATATACTTCCAATTCACATAAAAACCAGAATAATATCTACCTCTCATATATGATATCCCAATTCTGTTTCACATAAGCCAGTACAAGAGCAGTGGCAGCATGATTTCTTGACATTCCAGCTAACACTTGAATTGCACTCTGTTTCTTTATCTTTGTTGGGTCCAAAGCATACTGAAGATACCTGAAAATTTTTTTCTTCAATATTAACGTGTTCAATTCATCTTTAGCTAGAAATAATCACACCCGAATTAGCAAAATAAGAAACCATTACTTGATATAATAATAAATTGCACTCTTGCTGATGTCCAATTAAATTAATCAGCTCCGAGATAAAAAATGACCATGAACATAGAATTACACCAGTATTATATACCACATGAAAATAATTCAAAATAAAAATCAGTAATTAAATTTTTAGATGAAAATATCAAATTTCATTTAAGTTCTTAAATCTCATATCAATACCTAGAAAGCTTATCAATATTCTTGGTAAAGGTCATAGCTATAAGAAGTTTTTTCTTCTCAGCATCATTGGACTCGGCAAGGTACTTTTTCCAGCAGAAGTCCCATTCTCGTTCTCCACCTTTACTAACCCCCGCCTTGTACACTATGGACCTGTAGTCTGCCCGTATTCTAGAAAATGAAAGAGCATATAATAAGATCAATCTCTATGGCATAATACACAAAATGTTGATAAAATGCATGTAGACAGAAAACTGGCAAATGTACATACAGTTGACTTTAAAACAGTATTAAAACTTATTTAACAAACATTTGGGAACCATTATCTTGTGTTAAAGTCTAATGCCAACAGGCATATATTCACTTCATAACAAACAAATCAACATCTTTGCAGGAAAATAATTTCCTACTGTCAAATTCAAACATTCCATTTAAAAACTGTATTAAAACGCATGTTCTTAGAATGTTCTTAGGCTTAGAGCTAAACCACTGTACTTCATTTTCGCCTACCAAACATTTGGCATAATCATTTACACAGACTGTCTGCTATGCCACTGCTTGCTTGTATAATGACCTAATTTTGGAAATATATGGTCATTCTCAAAATATGTACATCCAAAGCAACTCTCTAATAGACAAAAAGATGCAACTTACGGTTTATCTCTCAACATCCAGTCATTGAACATTTTCATTGCTCTGCTGACTGTCTCATTATGTCCAAGTTCTACAGCTAAGCTGAGAATCTTGAGGCGCATTAAACTGAAATATATCATAATTATATCTAATACCAGTTTTAATCATAGCATATAATTTTGTTCATTTTGTTTACAAAGCTAACCTTCTGATCAAACTTAAATATCAAATAACATATTATCATAATCATTTTATCATAATTAATTCCAAATACTAGATGAAAAGCCACTTTTTCATAATCACTAGTATTCTACAATTACAAAAAGATATTAGCAGAGCAACAAACATTACCAAAAATACAACCATCACTGTTTATACGTCTATATTAAGCTAATTAAAAGAACAACTGGTGGTCATAGTACTGAATTACATATCACAGTAACAGTGTTGTTGCCCTCCCTTCTCTTTGTTAGCCAAACTTGAAAAATGTGCGAGTCAGTCACAGTTGGCCAAACGTCAGTCAATATCTGAAATGCCCTTTAGAGAGTTCTCACAAACCATCTGTTTTGATTTCTCACTAAGAGCCCTCACATATGGTAGAGTGAAACAAATCGGCTTTCAATAGATATTTGCCCAGGTTGGTTGCAAGCTAACACATACTAAGTTTATAATGTACAAATCATTGGTACATTGTGAATTCTCAGCATATAATTCATAAAATGTTAATCACAATACAAATAATTATGATTCCATCATGCAGTTTAATTATAATAAAGGCATGGTCTTACTTTGCCAAATGTCCTTCATTAGGCTGTCTCTCCCAACCAAGTCTCTTTATTTGAGGGTCCATCAGTGACAACATATACTTCTAAAATCAAATTCAATAATCAAGTTAAATACTGAATTGAAATATTTGCAGGTGAGGTGTAAATACTAGGCTGAACTCAAATAATATTATGAATATATGTCATTGATATCCAATAAAATGAAGTATCCATGGCCTCTAAAAGCAACTTAGTATATACTATGAAAAAGAAATCGGAATCATATATTACATGCAACATAATTAACATAATACCACTAAAAATATTTTTATCACTCAACTTTCAGAGAATTGAAGAGTAAGAATAAAATTAATCTGACCTTGTACAGATTAAAAGCCTGTTCATTTCCCCAGAGCATGTCATAGAGATAGAGCATGTTGGACAGGGTGACTCCCCATGGCACGAACTCATTTTCACCCCGTAAATACTGGGTCATTTCAAGAGCAGTGGTGATGTTTACCAGATTTGCTCTGAACAGAAAACATTAAATAAATTAACAAAATACCAACTCCCTGATGATGAAATGAAACTGTGATGAAACTGTTATTCTTTTGTACATACATATGATATTTACAATTAAAGTTTGCAAACTCACACTGTAATTAGATGTTTCAGTGAAGCTATAAGACATTTGATGATTATAAAGATTTATCAGTAGTGACTACTGATTATATGATTACAAATCAAAACATTATTATTCATTTACTGATATTTTACTAGAAAACAAAATGTTATACATAAATCTGACACAAAAATTTAAGAAAGGCCCATAAATGTTTGAAAATAATGTAATATTTGAGTACCTTGCCAAATTAAAGGCATCCTCTAACAAGCCTGCCCTATCAGCAGTGGGGAGAGCCTGAAAAGAAAAAACAAATACTTAAGGTACTGTTTTTATAAATACATGGATCGCATCTCAATTATTTATTATTCTTGAATTTTATAATTTCATTTGTAGCTTTTCCAGTTAACTTACTTGATTTTGATCTAGGTTGAATGCTGTGTAAAATAATCAGCTAGAAATAGCAAAACTAATGAAAACAGAGCTTTATCCAGTTTCTTGACAAAATCATTATGAAAAAAAAAAAAAAAAAAAAAAACACAGATTAAGAGGAGTTCAAATTCTTTGCATTGTTCTGTTATTCACTGGTAATAACTATTAACAGTGTCAGTGAGGATTATCTGAGGTAACCCAAAGTGTTGCAGCTTAGGGTAAAATTTCACAGGCTTCAGTGGAATGCGAGCTCAGAAATAATGGCAGACTAGACATTGTGGGGCAGCAGTAGGCTCCTATAGATTGAATTTAGTCTATTGCATGACAGTGCAATTTGTATTGCTTTCTAAGCACACATGGTTATATATTCCCAGCACACATGGTTTTACCCTTGAAGCCAAAGACTGATAATTAATGTCACACAATGCTGACAGCATCGTTTTAGGCTACATCGGATAATATCCCCAGTAAGTCAGTGTCTGAGTAGCTAGCACATCTGTGATATATCTTACTGTATAATTCTGCAGTAATATTCTAGTCAGCTGTGACCAGCCTTCCTCATCATAGTTGACTCTGTAAAACCCAGTCTGTTCATGATTCAACTTCAACCACCCTGGTCTGGTCAGGAGAGGGAGTACAACTGAGGAAGACAAGTAATAGATCTTAATTCTCAACATTCTGGATTAAACATTTATTTCATTTTCAAACGCTTTTTGGCATATTACTTCTGAGAAATAACCATGAAAAATTCAAAAAACAAATTCAAGGCAAGGAATTCTATTAAATTTTATCACTATAATAATTTTAATACACAAATATTTCTTAATATCTAAAAAGTCCTAACATACAGTATGATCACATTCAGCAAAATGTCTGGCATATATTCATATCTCTTCAAGAGACTGGTTCAGAAACTTGTTCACTAAATTTTAAAAGTTTTTACCACATCATGTAAATACTGTCACTGTGACTGTCACATACAGGTCTAATACAAATCAATCAATAAAGAAATCAAAAGCACAAACCAGTGTCCTCTTCCTTCGTAAGCAGTTTTTTACTGATCTGTCCTTGAAAACTTATGGTTATAGGAATTTGCCAAATGTAGCTAAAAAACAAAACTCCAGTTACAAAAATAAACAAATGTTTTTATCAAAACCTGGCTTCAAATTAACAGTAAGATTTCTCAATGACTCATAGAGAATAATGACTAAGTGAATTAGAAGTCAGTACTCAAAATAACAAAAATCTCACATTAAATGAGAGAACAATAATACAGAATATTAAATTTATTTAAAAAGAACTCTCACCATAAAATGTATATCAGAAAACAATACATTTTTGATCCAACTCACTTGTATGGACTTTCCTTTTTCTTTGCTTTGGCCTTTGGATACAGCAGAAACCTTTCCTGAGACAAGATCAGCTGATTTCCTTTTCTGGTCACATGAACAACTGGATAACCCTTCTGATTGGTCCATGTGTTCATGACAGCCTCCACATCAACAGGGTGACTTACCTAATAATAATAATAATAATAATAATAATAATAATAATAATAATAATAATAGTAATTAGAGAAGCACTCAGAGAGCATGACCTCTGCTAAGACAAATAATGAACTAATAACTGACCATTACTAAATTAATAATTAATAAATAATGGCCCATTTGTGAAAATTCTTGAAAATTACCTCAAAATCTGTCCATGACTTTATGGGTTATGTCTTCCACAGACAAACAGCAACAAAAACATGACCTCTTTGAGAGGTAATACTAATTTATAACCATAATGTAAATTCAGGTGATATAAAACAATTCCATAAGAAATTGATTTCTGTCACGTGCTCTTAAAATATCCACCTGTACTGTAAGTAGCCTGGCCAGTCATTTAGAAACCCACGTCTTCCTGTACATTTTAAAAGGAATTATGGGTTCCAGGTACTTTTATTTGAGGGGTTTTATAGTTTAACTTTTCAAGGTCTGAACTTGAGGGGAAAATAAGTAGTTTTGAAGGATTTGTAGACATAAATAATATGACTTTGGGAAATTTTTTAACATGCACAGTATACATTCAAGCTTATTATGATCAATAGCTTAATTATCATCCCCCCCTCTCTTCTCCATACCAACCTCTGTCAGTTCATGCCACAAATCACTGGTTTCTGCATTCCCATACTGATACTTTTTCAGGTAAGCAGTGAGGCCTTTTCTCAACCTATCTCTACCAATAAAACTGTCCAGCATGCGAATTATTGAAGCTCCCTAGAAATGAAATTATCACTGTAATTATATCAACCACCAGCAATGCATGGCATTGTTGATAAAATGCGTATTTAAAAAGACTTCCATTTATATATATAGCATTGTAGATATCAATTGACAAATAAACCATTCTGATATGCTTAAATGTGTGTCATAGTTAAACGAAAATCTTTACACGGTTTTATGTAACTGTCAGTGACAAAGTAAACAATTAAACATGCAGATGTGAGCTTCAGACAATGCTAGTACAGTAGGGTTTACCAGCCTTGTTCCAGTATTAACAATATGTTCTTAGGCATTTCAACTGTCACAATTGTATTATCTTCACAAATCGTATGTACGGAAATACAATAAATCCGATTCAGTCTTTCATCCCAATGTAATTTTTTCCTTAGAAATAAATCATATGTTTGCAAATACATTAAATCTGATTCAGTCTTTCATCCCAGTTGTAATTTTTTTCCTTTGAAATAAAAATTCCTAGCTGTCATGACAGTGTTATTATTATTATCAAACCTTGCTGTATGTCACAGTGTCAAACATTTCTTCTGTCTGCTCTGCGCTGGTTACCTTGGCTGAGATTGGATGAGAGGAGCTCAGCGCATCACGCCCTAAAGCTATGCGGGCATCTTTTAAGAAAAACTGATCAAACTGGAATGATACAACACACTGCAACATGAAATGTGTTTCATTACACATGACTTGTAGGAAAATGGTATGCTGTTTCTAAGGACTGAAAAAAAGAAAGGGGGGGGGATCATTAAAATGTATGTTAAAAATTGATGAACATCCAAGTATTTTATGTATTCGAAGCCTTATATAAACTGTAAGACAAGAGGGTTTGTGGGGGTTTGAAAGAACTACCCTTATGGCTAGAAAAGGTCCATTCTAAACCAAACTTGAACTAGATTCCAAGCCTTTTATCAAGTTGCATCAACTAAGAATGTAAAAAAGTCCACATTTTCAGAAAAAGAATTCCTCCCACCCCATTTGAAATTACAGGCCTGTATATACTAAATCTGGATTAAAATAGACAAAATGTCTTAATCCCATAGTTGAAGCCATTTATCTACATTCAGTAAGGGATTAATTTTATGAAATTGGACTCAAAGGATTACCATGTGCCAACGTGAATTGTAATGGTCTGATCCTAAATACTCCACAAAGGTAGCAAATCCTTCATTCAGCCACAGGTCATTCCACCACTTCATGGTGACTAGGTTTCCAAACCACTAAAAAGGAGAAATATAAAAATTGAAATTGAAATAAAAAAAGCCATTAAATTCTTTACTTAAAAGCAGAAATATAAATTATTCCACACAGAGTTAGGAAGTATTTCAAAACACTTTCTGAAACTGGTGTCTTACACCGCCAAAACTGGATACCTAAATATTTTTTCATATTTTGGAAAAAAAAAGAAAAATACATTTAAATTAGCATTTTAGGAGAAATATGAATATTATGCAAAGAAGATAAAAGCTAACCTGGTGTGCCAGTTCATGTGCTATCACCACAGCCACCCACTCCTTATCACTGGAGTCAGACACTCCTTCCTCATACAAGATGGCTGTCATTCTGTAGGTGATCAAACCCCAGTTTTCCATTGCTCCTGCTGAAAAGTCTGGGATAGCTACCAGATCTTAAAATATAAGAATAGGAGGTTTAAATCTTTTCTTTTTATTTATTTGATGACTCAAACAACCCCCTAATATTGCCATTTGCTGTGACCTCGTAATATCAATAACATATCTCTATGTGAATGAACTGAAATATTAAATAGTTTAAATAATTGACTTCCCGTATTTTACTCATATTAGCTACTAAATATCTTCTAATTTTCTTTTAAAAAAAGCTGGCAAATACTTAAATCAAAGTGATAACTTTTACTTCTCATCCAACAAATGTAGCCTGTACATATATACACTATAATAATATAATTATGATATTTGGTCTATGGAAAAGACTGTATATTTCAAAGTTCTCAGTAAAAATTTAATAAATTACCTTGCTTTGGCAAAGGGAAAGCCACTCCAAAGAATTCCTCATAGTATGATAAGACCTTAGAGGCTACATCCAGAGCATACTCTGCCTGGGATATCAAATGAGGAGGGGCATACACAGAAACCTGAAGATGCGCAAATGTCAATATTGAAATATTTAATATAAGGATATTAAAACGCAACTGAAAAGGGTGCAGACATTTTATCATTTATTCTATTAAGAACTGTCACTTGCAAATTTGGGCACTGATAAGAATAAATAAGTCAATCAAATAAATTAAAATACTAGTAATTTATTAATTAAAATTTAAAAAGTAAAAGAACAAATGGGTCCATATAAAACAGTGAAATTGTCTGGTAGCCATTATATTAGTTTAACAAACTCTACAGCAAGTGAGCTGGATGCTAACTCACCTGAGTTCCACCAGTGGAATTTGCTGTGATTTTGGCAAAATCACATACAATGAAGGCCACCAGATAGGAACTCATTTTTACAGATTCCTCAAAATGGTCCACCACCAGTCCATTAGCCAAAGTTTCGCTACTTTTCTTGGGCATGTTAAACAGGGAAACATTGTGCATACGGGGATCGCGAACCATCGAGAGAGAAAACTTGGCCTTGAAACTGGGTTCATCAAAACATGGGAAGGCTGCTCTTGCATGTGCAGCTTCAAACTGTGTAGTGGCAAGGTATCTGAGGTATACAATTATGGTCAGAATAACTAATACACTGTTTATAAATTGACAAAAGATGACAATCATTTTAAACATTTCAAATTGCTTCAACCTAAATATAATTAATTCACAAAGGTGACAGTACTAGATGTCAAGTTACTATATAGTACATCAAAGGTTGATAATATTAACAATAAAAACACAGCCTTCCCCTAACATTAAGATAATCTGACATAAAATGATTTTTCCAAAAGAGAATTTATTCATATTCATCATCAACCACTGCAATATAATATTTTAATTAATCAATTATTTAATCATGCATTATGTCTCAATCCAAAATATTATCCCTACTGAAAGTTAAGTCTAAATAAAAGTATTTACTGTTAAAGTATCACTGTATGCATGTGACACTGACAAGACATGTTTATTGTGACATTTTGCACCTTACCTGGTCTCCCCCTTGTCATTCTTGTATGAACTGTTGTACAATCCATACATTGTGTCCCTCAACAATCCACTAAACTCCATATGGAGCACATACTGCTGCTTTGCATTTAAAGCCTCAGAAAACTGAATGAAGTATTCTTTTTCATCTGGATCACTATCAGTCTTAATCACACCAAGTCTTTTTTTGCCATCTTTTGTGGTAAGTGTTATCTTTTCCTGTGAAATATTGAGATTCTGTGCATGTAGAACAATGTTATTTGTATTGCTTGTCACAGATACTGTTATGTTCACCCAACCACTGAATGTGAATGTTGTGAGATTGGGATGCATGTATAAAACATAAGAGTCTGGTCTCACATCTGTGGAAAGTCTGGTGGAATTCCAATCCCCTACATTTTCTTTCTGTTGATTTGAGATTCCTGGTTTTTGATCGATCCTTGGTTGATAGAAAATAGAGAGTAGAGTGATGCACACCAGGAAAGTGAAGACAATTCCTCCTGTAGCAGCAACCTTGGTTCTGGTGCAACGACATCTTAACTGGCGTACCGCTACACCATAGCTCACTCGCTTGTGGTGCTCTTCTTCCCCTAAAAATAGATAAACTCATGTTTAGGCACCAGCTACTATTGGAAATTTACTTGTAAACACCCTGTTATGTCCCGTGCACAGTTATTCACCCCATTTCTCCCCTGCACAGTGACTACCCTGGACTGGAGAAATAATTTAAAACATAATTCTCCATTTAAAAACTTTACTCATCTATAAATAACACAATAGGCTAGTGACAAGTTTTTTACATTATCATTCAAAAACCATTTAAAGGGAGTAAAGGTGTGGGGGAAGTAACGATATGGGGGCAAGTAGATGCAGGTAACATCATGATTTTGCTAGGGGGAGTAATGATGTGAGAAAGTCTGTAACAATGTGGGGAAGTTACTTGTAGTAACGAGCATAGACAGGTGACCCTCAAAATTTCACTTAATAATAACATTCAGTTATAATATCTTATTATTAAACAAATTAAATTTTTGATCAGATTGGCAGTTTTGACACCAACTAAGCAAAAAGAAAAAAAATGAAACTTGCTCGATACAGAAAATGTCCAAGAGTGATCCCAACAGATAAAATATCTTCAATTCCTAAGGTTTGCCGATACTTAGAATCTGAGAGTAAATTATATTAAATTGAATGCAGCAACTTGCCTATAGATAATAAAATCTTGTATGAATGTTGTTAGAACAAAACAATAAAGAGCATTCATATTTCACATTCTAGAAATTGGCTTAACATTTCACGTATATTATTTATATAAAAAAGATTGAATTACTGATAAAATGGATAAAATGTACCCAACAGCTACAAAAAAATGGGTTTAACTGTCTGCAGGAAGCAGCAATGACCCCTTTTTCTGTATAAACAAGCAGACATCATATGTTTGATCAATAATTAAATTCATTCACAAAACATTCTTCAAAGGGACTTTTATATTCAGTTAATGTCAATTTTTTTATGATTTACAGCATCAAAGGCCCAACAAAATACATAAAATATATAGATTGATAAATAATCAAGCCATGTTTCATTTATACAATCCAGAGAAAATAACCCTCAGACTCTAATTATTTTAATGTCCTATTTTACCTTAACTATTTATTCTCTGTCAGTTTACCTTGTGACTGTTCATTCTTCATATTCATCTTAACCTCTAATCATCTTCTCTTTGTAGACAGACAANAAAATTCTGATTGAAGTCACAAGAGAGAGAGAGAGAGAGAGAGAGAGAGAGAGAGAGAGAGAGGAAAGAAAGAAAATTACCTTCCAAAACTACCCACTGAGTATCATCATTTGTGTACAGTATGTTAGTGATAACACTGGCCATGGTGCCAGCACCAGTGCACGTATTCAATCAAGCCTTCTCTCTCCAAGCCCTCGCGAACAAGTCCAATTGCAAGCTTTAACTAAAGATAACCCTGCTTGCATGCAATGACATTTACATATGAACAGCCACAAAATGTCTTCTCAGGCAATGATTTCTGTGCTCTGCATTAGAGGAAACGGGAAATACATCATAGACTGATGCACAAAACTGGTTTCGTGTAGATATTCCTCCTCTTATGATGTTGAATTCAGCATCTTTTGACCTTGCTCTCTCCTTCGAACTGCATAATAGGCAAAGATTTCTTGGAAAATTCAGCAATTGCTGACTGCTTTCATTGAATTTCCCTCGTGTGCATGTAACGGTGTATTGCAATAAACATGAAGCCACCAAGAGCAAATACTAAAAGTCTGCTTTATTCCCATCAAATATTGCACAGTGTGAAACATTTCACTGACATGTTAGATATACAACTGTGATCAATAGTCTATCATAATGATTAAATATGACTAATATTTATTAGTTTCCATCCTCATGAACAGCAGAGTGGTAGCATGCGTTTCCAAGGCAACATTTTCCTATAATCTTCATCTTTACATTTTCATACATATCCACGATATAAGTGCACACATGTGCAGTTTTGAAAATGGAAAAGCAGGGGTGCACTGGAAACTAACCTCAGGATAAAGAATTAGCAGTACATCACATTTCCTTAACTCAAATTGAAACACATTTTACTTGAAATTATTGATTGATCTTGATCTTGGTAACGAGCACTAAAAGATCTAATGGTAGAAGTCTTCCAGGTCATTGGAGACCCATAAATAAGATCAGAGACTCTATGATTACAGCTTGATGCACTAAGGTTATGTGTACCAATAATGCTAAAGCAATTCTGATCATCAATCTGCTTAGCACTTCAAACATATTAGTGACTGAGCTTTAATCATTGTGTCTCATGCATGTATAATTTATAGATACTGGTACCCCAGCACTCCAAAGTGTATTTAATTAGAATGTGGGATAATGATGCATCAGCTAATTTACAAAAATTAAATTAAATTAAATTTGCAACATACCTATAGAAAAGTTTGCTGAATTACTATAAGAGGCTTTTCGCTGTTAGAAATGAATTGTAGGTCAAACATACACTAGCTTTAGATGGATAGATAGAAAGATAGATAGATACCTAAAACCCTACATTAGAACTCTTATAAAACTTGACATCTATAACTGCATGCTATGCAATTTCAAATATTGGTATACGCTTTTTGGTACTTTTTTGCTGGTCCTGTCAAAAGTGAAATAGAGCATTAAACAATTTAGATTAAGGCAATTCAGATTTAGACCCAAAAATAAAAATAAAAAGTGGAGCATGAAACTTTGTCATTTAGACAAGTTCTGGTGTATATCAAATTACCATCAACAAGGGCCACCAATAATTATGTACATTTTTTTCCACAAAAAAGTTCCATCAATTTATCCAGAGACAAGAAAAATCAATCTGTGGCCTTGGTAGAGGGTAATATCAAATATCAATTCACATTTTAGTGGACCCAGATGACTGCAAGCACGTCAGTCAGGAATTTTTAAACATTTTCTCTAGCTATCCTAAAAAACCTGCAAAATACTGTCAAAATCACTATAACCCAAAAATTAGTTCTTATTGGATATTTTGTTGAACAGATCAAGTTAGTGGTGGTTACCTATGCATCCATTTTTTTTCAGCTGGCAATACTTAGGGCTCCATATACAAAATAAAAACCAATAGATTTTTTAAAAAAATCATAATTCATGTCTTCCATCAAACCTCATGGCTGAATAAAAATTTCAAAAGAAAATCAACATGACATACCAACAATGCATGTTCGGGATCCATATTCTTGATTTTGATGAGAAGTTAGCATCCTGTATCACTACACCTGTGATTGCAACTGGTTAAAGGAGACAACAGGCAACATTCTTATTTAAGTGGGTAAAACGCAAAACATAGGTATGGTATGGTAGTTACTGAAAATATTTGCACAGCAAAAATAAATAAAACCAAATGCTGTTTTGCACAATAGATGCACTGAAAAACAGGTAAATAAATACATGTTAATTACCATTCCCCCATTTTCAGTAGTCCACAGATCAGTGTCTTATTATCTGAATAAATAATTCATTTTTTTTCTTAATAATTTCTGCAAAGAACACTAGACCTTCCTCTATATTTCAGTTCAAGAACTTAATCTGACAAATGTGCACACACATGTGATTTATCATCCAAATTGTTTCCTGGTAGAAAACAAGATCATCAAATTTGATGTGCTTGTCAGTGCAAACTTTAAGTAAAAATATAATTTTATTTGTCTCCATATCTACCTCACAAGCATAAGATCAGGACCTTTTTTTATTTCAAGTTTTAAAATATGGTGGAATACATTTTTTTGTCTGTTGTAATCAGACCAAACGATGACATGCCTCATAGGTAGAAAACATGTTTTAATTAGTCCCAAGAAACACAAATCACTTACTTTTTTTACCAGTTTCAAGAATTCTTTGAGGCCATTGTTGGTCAATGTACCTATTTTTGTGAAAAAGTTGATTGCTTGAACAAATGATAAAATATAATGAAAGGCACTTTTCAAAACAGGGAGTTGCTTCTATTGAAATTCCTGCCAAATCTTTATCAAGGGATAGAAATTAATATCTCCAAAAATGACCTATAAAAAAACTTACTGTACATGTGGAGAAAGGATGAAAAGGTTAATATCACTTATAGGAAAACCAAGGGAAAGAAAACAAATTCCTTATTGTTTAAAGGAAACAGGATGTAGTCAAAAATGATAAACATCGATGGTAGTATAGCATGCAACACAACACAACTCACAACAAAGTTTTCAACAGTTCAGAACAGTGTGTGTGTGTGTGTGTGTGTGTGTGTGTGTGTGTGCACATTCACACACCCAAGACGTGTGGGTGGGTGGGGGTAACAGTGTGGGAAAGTAACAATGCAAAAGAGTACCAGGGGGGAGGGGAGGGCATTGATCTGGGTGATAGCATACTATTAATATTACACAGGCCTGGGAGTGTATATAAGCAAGGAGGGATCAATGAAGTGGAGATGTTATTCAAAAGATGAACCCCAAAAAATTTCAATAACAAACAATCAAATTGAGAAGAATTCTGCCTATCTTTGTCAGGAGATAATATAGCTACAAAAATAACCCTCATATATATATAATTAAAAACCAATGAAACTTCCAGCTCTGAAAGGATGGTAATTGACAGAGTTAATGACAAAGAGCAGGGAAAGAAAAACAATGTAATTAATTTGTTTTTTAAAAGAAGCAGGATATTAAACATCAAAAGGATGTGTCATAATAAGTTTCTTATTTGCTTCTTTTATGTTTTTAAGGTTGTCAAAAAATTCCATTTCAGGTGATAAATTTGAGCTTAAAGTATTATTTATGTTGGTAAACCCACCAGTTTTTTTTCTTTTTTTTTTGAAATGCAGAGGAAGCATGTGTAACTAAACAGTATATGTACGTGGTACATATGTATATACTGGTAGCTGAGTTGAATAGGGTTAATTGTGAGAATCTCAAATGTTTTGATTAACAGGTGTTTTCTATGGAAAAAATTGCTGCTAAACACACATCTTACCACTAATTTAGGTTGGTAAAATGATATTTTTTTACATGGTAGACAAAATGTCCTAACAACAGTCTTATCACTGCCAATTAAAGGCGCCTTAGTTTGAAATATGGCTTTTCTTGTGTTTTTAGGGAACCTTGTAAAATTCATTTTTTCAGAATCTCAGTCAGTCAAAACAAGACCAAGATCTCTCAAGTTCTGCTGGATGTGAATTATAAGCTAGGAATGTTTAGCATTATACTAACCTCAAGCAACCAAAAGATGAATATCTTTAATTCATTTTTTTTGAGGATGTGTGATATATCTTTGTTATACATGTATAAAGCTGGGAAAAGAATCACTTTGAATTCATAAACTGAGATATACAAAGAAGTAGCCAAGGAAATATCCAATGTCTGGATCTCCACAAATATCCACCCTCTCTTTGAAAAGAATATTCCCACAGAAAATGCTGGATAATAATACATTTGGGGAACTAATGTCCATATTTTTAACAAAAACCAAATGAACAATAAATTTATTTCCATCTGTCAATATTAGTCCATAATACATGTACAAAGTATGTACCAGTATATGATAATGTCACTGTCTTATGAAGTTTGCATAAGTTCATTTAATTGTCAATTCTGGCAATGTTTCATTTTCCATTTATTTTTTATATACTAGTAATAGCAATCTGTCTTACCACCATTATTTCCCTTTCATAATCATATATATACAATAAAAAATTTAAAGTACATACAAATGCGAATGCAAAGTTGTATGATTGGCTTTGTAAACTTGTGAATAATTCCCAATGAAGGCACAATGATTACATTAGCATGAAAGAAAATGCCCTTTTTTCATATAATTACAGATATAATAAGTAGACTAGTGTACATAGTCTACAATCAAATGGTCAGACAATTTATATTTTTCTATTTGTTATAGCATCAAGCTGTTATAGTGTCAATCTATTTTTCATTAACAGCTGCTGTTACCCCGAGTTTCAGAAAACACAAGAAATTCGCCTCTACTGCCAGCAAGATTTTTGCCAACCATGCTGATATGGCAGACAGGTGAGTTGAGTACTCTGAAACTCAGGGCAACAGTTGTTACAGACTTTATTCCTTCTCTATGTCAATATTCTTCCGTACGTTATTCAATATGCTGTACCAGAAGATAAAGATGATTTGAAGGGATTCTGTTATCATTCAATGATATTCAAAATATTGCTGAATGATGGAATAAATGTCTGGGTCTACAAAATCAGTTTATCAGTATGATTATATAAGCATATTCACAACATAACTAAGGAGCATGATTAACATTGGCAGATAGATGTTTCAAAACAAAGATAAATATAACTGTTACATATATAAGGGTATTAAAAGTATGAACTATATATCATATATGTGTGCTTGTGTACAGTATATAATAAACAAAACAATCATGTCATTCTGAAAATCAAATTATACTTGACGGTAATGGGCCAAATAGTGTTCAGCCCAGAAAGGCAAAAAACATTAATTGCCATAGATACATTGTACCTGAATGTTATACTGATTTTCAATGCATTTAAATGAAACCAATTGAACAATAATACAACCAATGAAAGAGGTGAAATTTTATTAGCACTGGTTTACATTGGTAATGTACTTTAATAAGTGGACAAATATCTCAAAAGTTTTAAACATGTTTTTGATGAAATTTTCAGTATACAGAGTTATCCAAGAGAAAGAGAGAATTAGTGATTACAATATCAACTGAACCAGGTTCTCCTAATACTTTAGCAGGAATTTTTATTGACTTTTTCCATGGTAGGTGTCTGCATTTTTGGAATGCTCTCTAGTAATACTATCACAAGAATTACCTTGCGCTAGTATACATACTTGTAAACAACTGATAACTAAGGGCATCTTTTCAAATACTGGGGTATCTACGTATGTATTTTAAAGCAATGTCCCTGCTTGCTAGCTAGTAGCTAAAGGATTACATTTTTCCAGTCACTCTAGAGAATTTCATATAATATGTTTCAGTTTGCAAAATTTATAAAATATTTAATACAAGAAGATTACAGCATTTATGCTTGTATGAATAGGGTGAATTATTACTGTGACAACTGAATCATTTGTATTAACTGAAAAAAGCACAAGTTGGAAAAAATGTTAAGTTTGTGCGGGTTTACAATTAATGTGAAAAACATATAATGAATCAAGACTGAAAGAAAAACATACTGTACTGGTTGATTGCAATACTTTTTCAGCAACTTATTCTAAAGGCAAAAAAATCTATTAATTATACAATCTATTCAAGCAGACTTCAACTGTATCAAGTATACTTCACCATCAATTCTAAATACCAGACCAGCTCTTTCTCTCTTGAATTTTTTTGCTCATTTTTTTTGGGG